CCTACAGAGCGTGCTGCTGCTTCATTTCACAACCTCATCAGACTTTAAATTAAACAACGGCATTCTAAAATAAGATTCAGTGGGCCAAAGAAGTTTGTGCAACAGAGTTCCTGTTCTTATCTCAACACATTTGAAGCTTAAAGAAATGGACTTTTCTAACTCAAAAAACAAACAAACAAAAAAAAAAACAATATTCTGTTTTAGGTGAGAAATTGTGGCACTTTTAAAGACTCATCACTGCAAGTTTAGTTAAGGCTCTTACAAATTAAATAATTACATCTTAATAGCAGGTTAAAATGCAGCTCATTTTAAAATTGTAAAGTAGTTCATCTTAAAGGGATATTTCAGTGATTTTGACATGGAATTCTGAGTAAAATTTATGAACAGGTAATATCTTGAAATAGGTCTCTCTTGTCCTGAGTCTTGAGGCTCAATGGGAAATAACCCGTATAAACAAAGGTTGAATGAATCTTACTTGTTTTACATAGCTCTCTGATCAACCTTAGTTCAGAGAAGTAGTTTCATTCTGAACTAACAAGCTAATGGCTAGTCCAAAATGGATCTCCACCAACTCTAAACTCCTTCAATCTCAGAAATTTCACAGCAGTTCAATAAACGCTTTTACATCTCTTCAGAATGATCAGTTTCACATGACAATGCTGTGAAAAAATTATGTGAACCTTAATTTTGTGCTGGTGAACCTAAGTGAAAAGATGAGGCTGCAGCTCAGACAATTTTTGTTTATAAAATAATTATGTCTGTTCATACTAAAAAATGCTAACATGGGGTCTCACACACCTGCATGAGCTCTGCCTCTGCTGCAGGAAAATGCCAATCATAAAACAACTGGACTTCTAAACTGTGACAGAAGATGTTTAGCTTCCCATTTGTGGAGTTTTTACAATTCAAACCTGGAGACTGAAGAGTTACAAGCTCTAAACTGCTTGAGATGCTTCTTTTATGCGAGTTAATTTCACATGCAGGTTAATTTAAATCCCCTCCCCCTGAGGGTCATTAGGCTCTTTTTTTTTACCTTCAACGCAAATAGTGGATGGTAGGTGGGGGTCTGAGGGTCCTCCCCCCAGAAAATATAATTGAATAAAGTAGATGCCATTTCCTGTATTCTGATGTATTTTAACAGGTTGATATTTTGACAAATTTGGGGCGGCTGTGGCTGAGTGGTTAGAGCAGTCGTCCTCCAACGAAAGAGTTGGGTGTTTGAATCCACCAGCAGTCACATGCCGAAGTGTCCATGGGCAAGACACTGAACCCCTTATCGCCTCTGATGTGTGTCCCATCAGTGTATGAATGTGATCTAAAGCTCTGATTAGTCTCTTTAGAATGATTTGTTCAATTAGTTTTGTAGAGATCCAGTAGAGTGCTGTATGAATGGGTAAATGAGGCACAGACTGTAGTGTAAAGTGCTTTGAGTATCTTGATTAGATAGAAAGGCGCTAAGTACAGTCCATTTACAAATTGTTGCCATTGTTTTGACACGTGATTACCCATCAAACATTTCTTTCATATTTTTAATAATCAAAATTTTATGAATGAGCCACTTAAACTGTAAAACTGATTTGCAATTTAGTTGTGCTGTTTAATTATATTTTTATGTTTTTAATTACTCATGACTGTACTTTTAGGGGCGTAGAGGTTTTAAGGGTAGAAGTGGAAATGCTTACTTGAAGGGGCAGCTCCGATGTGATATTAGGAAGCTCGTAAGTGGCGGTTATGCTTAAAATGAGTGTTTATGTAATTATTTTCAGATTACATGTCCAATATAGGTTTTATTCGTTCAAGCCAGTCAAATTTTTTCCTGGAGCCAAGCAAACAGTTACAGGAATGCACCCTGTCAAAATAAGAGTTCCCAGATCCTGTTCCATCAGAATCCAGTTAAAATTAAGCCCTGGGTGAATGTGAACTTGATAGCAATGTAAAAAATGTAAATGGTAAAGAATGGCGTCTGTCTGAAATGCTGTGAAATGTCTTGAATTTGAGCCGTTTTAAGATAGCAGTAATCTATTTTGATCTTAGCCACCTTCTGATTAGATATTAGCTCATCTGTCCTGTCTGAAACAAACTCCACTTCTCTAAACTGAAGTTGTTCAATGAACAACAGTTGTCTGCAACAGGTACAATCTATGTTTTCTAACATCAGTTAAAATGGCCAAAATGTTCCTTTAAATGTCTTTTACTCTGAATTTTAAAATCCAAACGTTTTAAGATTGTTTTCAGCACCCAGCTGCTCACACACTGATGAGTAGTAATTTTAAAGGTAACCAGATGTTTACATTGTGTTTAAAAAGAGACATAACCATTTTTGTCTATCTGACATAAAATCAGATCAAATCTTTCTTGTTTTAAGTCAGTTGAGATTCCCAAAATTATTAATATTTGCTAAATGCCTGAATAATGAGAGGGATTTTTTTTTTTTTTAAATACACCAAATTACAATGCTTTAAAATGCCAACAACCAAGCCAAGATGATAATGTCAAGGCTTTGGGAGGTTTTGATAGGTTGATAAAATTTGAGTTAATTGGAGGCACACCTGTGTATGTATTTTTAGGTACACCTCAAACACACTGCCCGTGTGTCTGAGTTTATCGGTCACTATATCAGGAAAACAGCTGTTGACCTCCACAACTCTGGTACATCATTTGGTACGATTTCCACATACCCAAAGGTGCCACATCAAACACACATCATGGCAATGTCCTGCTAGCATCCTGCTAAGGAAGGGAAGGTGAACATGTTTTAATGTGAAATGTGTATATCACTGCCAAAACAAAAGCAAATGAGCTTGTGAAGATGCTGCTGAGGTTGATTGGTGTATACCGCAGTAAAACGTGTCCTGCAGCAACATGGGCCGAAAGGCCACTCAGCCTGGAAGAAGCCTTTACTCCTAAAGCACCGTAACAAAGCCAGATCAGTAAATGCACACAGGGATAGCTGGAGACGTGTCACAGGGTCTGATCAAACTAAATCGCACTGTTGGATCATAATGTTTGTTACATTTGGAGGAAATGGGGGAAGCTTGAAGCCAGAGAAAACCAACCCCAACTGTGAAGTACAGGGGAGGCAGCATCATGTTGTGGGAGTGTTGTGCTTCAGGAGGGATTGGTGCAATTCACTGAATACAAAGTAGATGGCATCACAAGGAAAGAACATTAAGAGGAAATAATGAGGCAACGTATGAAGCCAGAGAGCTGACGCTTGGGTGCAAATGGGTCCAAATGGACATTGATCCTAAAAACACTGCCAGAGTAGTTTCAGTGTTTTGGAGTGGCCATCACAAAGCCTCCATCTCAATGCCAATGCTACCAAATACTATGAAAATGTACGTAAACTTGTGTATTTATAGAAAAAAAAAACCCCATCTTATTCATGCAATAAAAACCCTGACCTAAAACAGGAAATGTTTAGTCTGATTTTGTCACACAGTAAAAAGCATGTCTTTTTATAAAATGTTTGTGATTTCACCTGTAAATAAATACCAATCTGTTCCAAATGACATGTCAAACAGGTCAGATTAAACAAAACATGTGCTGAGACTCAACCTCCTAAATTAAAAGTGAACATGTTACTGAAAATGTCTCGCTGCACCTGAACATGCCACTAGATCTGAGCCAATAGCTGTACAAAGTTATTTCAACAAATGTAACCACATAACCCAGTCACTACCAGGAAAACACCTTTTACAATTGTCTGAATACCTGACCGCGTGCTTTGTATGCATTTTGATTTCTGTCCCGTTGTTAATCCCACCACCACCCACTCCTTATTAGATTCAAGAGATTTCAACTTTGGATAAATATACAGTAAAGCTCTTTGAGAAATGCAGGATGAGGCGCAACACATGGTCTGTATGATCACAGTCCAGCCTGTTGCCAAAACCTGCCTATGCATCAAATACAGAAAATCTGAACTCAGATCAGTTTGGAGACAGTGTTGTGTGGAAGTAGTTTAATTTTATTGGGAAGCCATCACCTAAAATTATCCATTATCAAAGTGTGTATGATCAGGTCTTTGCACAGATTTCATCCTGTCACGTGCCTCATTCCAAAAGTTTGTACGAGTTTTCTTTGACTCGGGAGCTCCACATGTTAAACAAGTTGATGTTCTTCAAATCTGAGGCAGTTTTGAAGTTTAGTTCAAAATGACTAAATAAACTACACAGTGTTAGAACGTTTTTATAGTGTTCATTGACAGAAACCAGGTGAACCATGATGAAGCATAGTGAGCTGCAGCAGGGAAAGCTGAGTTTCTAACTGATGCTGGTCAAATCGTCCCTCTGCCCAATAGTTATCATTTTGTACCCAGTCATTTGTGCACGTATCATTATAGATCATAATGGACTCCAGTTCCCTGTGTCAAGCTAAGCTTTATTTTATAATCAACATTTTCAACTTCACATTCTTTTACTCAGTCTGGGTACAAAGTGACCAAAGTTACAAAGTGCTATTTGGCAAAGGTACAAACTGACTCAGAGCTATTTCTAATTGATAGTCTGAAAAAATCTGAAGAAAAGAAATTATCCACAGGGACATTGTTTTTTTAGGCACTTTCACAAAACAGTTCCACAGAACAGCCACAAAGAGCAATCAGGCTTTAAGCTGCTCCTGATCTTTCAGAAATCATTAACGGAGCCACAACTTGGGCTGGGCAGGACTGTTGTCTTGAACATTTCAAGCACACGTGAATAATTGTCAGGCAAATGATGAGTATTTTGGCTTAAAATACACATTCTAGCCACTTCCCTGGTTATAAGTGAACCCAACTGAGTGATTATTTATTTGTGGTTATCTAATTTTGAGACTAAATACAAAGTTGTTGAGCATCATCATGAATCTTCTCTGTCACAACAGAAGTCATCTCAGGGCACTGAACAAACATTCATATAGTTTGTACATAAAAAGTAAGTTAACACTATTTATCTGCGGAGCATGCTTTGAGTTTAACTCCCATCGCAGACTCGCATCTTGAACAACCTGAATCTGCTTATTGCTGTTTAGGCTTTTCAATCATACGGCAGGGAGCTCACACAGTCCATTTGTCAAAGCATCACATCACTGAGCTGCAAAATGGCCATACCTTTCCAAAAGTCAAGTATTACGGCTTCGTTACCACCTCACATGGCAACTCAAAGGTGCATCAGTGGTGGGTTGGCTTCAACCTACATGCTGCCTCGGTCCATGCAGAAATCAAATGGAGGCTTGAAGTGTCTTGTGAAAGTGCCTTTTAATCAGTGTTAGAAAGCTTATTCTGCCTTTTTGATGTTTGTCATTTTTGTAAACAAACACTTTACAAATCTTATTTAAAATTTTGCAGATCAGTGTACAAAATAAATCAGAGTTTTATTGAATAAAGGCTGTCAGACTAAGAAAGGTGTGATTATACTTGCATTTTAACTTGTTTTAAAAATCCTTTTGGTCAAATGATTTCTCTTCAGATCAACTCGTTTCTCCCTGTTGCTGCATTTACCAGCTGTGATCTGCATGTGTGTGATTAACTATCCACCACCTGGTGTGGCAGCGTGACCGAGGAGCTGTTAATAAATGAGCCTTGTTTGTCTCTTCCTTTGAGAAAATAGGTGAGGAGCTCCCCTTTCCCCTTTACAAAGATGGGCCCCCTCCTCACAAAGCGGAAATTGTACTCCTTCAAGATGTTGTAGCAGTCCTCCACCACCTGGGGGAAAGAAGAAACATAATCAGATGCAACAAAAAAGGTTGAATCATGTCATCTGGACTTCGTTTTTTTGTTGTTATATACCTGGATGACTGAGAAAACAAACTTTGTGTTTTTGATAATCAGATGCACTCACACAGTTAATCTGATAAAACATTTATTTTGAGTTACCAGTAGATGTAAAAAAAAAAAAAAAAAAAAAAAGCATTCACATCTGGATGTGAATAATAAAAAGCAGATGTGAGCATTGGAAAACTATTCTACGGACTGCGCTACAACATCATTGGCGTCAGAAGCATGTTTGTAATGTGTGTGTGTGTGGGGGGGGGTCCACACTGGTGGGTGATCTGGGGGTCCTCCCCCAGAAAAAATTTGAATAAAGTAGATACCATTTCCTGCATTCTGGTGTATTTTAACAGTTGTTTAACAACCAGTTTTACCTACACAAGTAAACACTTGATTCAGTAACTGTTGTAGAGAGCAACAAGAAGTATCCTGACCAACAGCTCTCCTTGTGTGAATAGAGCACGCTCAGCTTCTCTCAGGCAACCTAACCCCCCACCCATATTTAAAATTAAGTAACATTTTCAAATGCAGAGAAATAATAAATATAAAATTAAAGAATATATTTACAGTAAATAAAATTACAAGTATCCACTAAAATAATTTGTCAGAGGGCTTATTAGCTGAGTGAGGTAATCAGAGCTTTTCTGCTTGTGTTTTTTTTAAACATTGGCCAATAAAATTGGACTTGTTTGAAGGATATATATTATTTAGAGTTTGAAATGTAATTTTTTATTTGTAGGCAGAAGAAAAAAACTCAAATATTTTGCCATTTTTATTCTCTTCTTCTTATGGTAAAACTCATGAAAATTCTTTCTTACCAGACCGGTATTTAATGTTTTTATTAAAGGTTGTCTTAAAAAATTGTTGTTGCATTTTTTGTGTATTAAATTTAGTCCATTGAGATTGATGCTTGGTGAACTAATTGTTGGTTTAGTTTCATAATTGTTCTTTATTAACTGAAAAAATGCAATTGGTATATTTTAATTACTTTGTCAGTCTTTTTTGGTACAGATATAATTATATTTTTTAATGAATTCTTCATATTCATATAGATTGCCATTTTCAACCAGCACTTTGGCCAATGGTGTTGTTTTTAAAGTGCTTTATAAATAAAGTTGTATTGTATTGTATCCATTAAATGAGTGACCATATTTGCTTCTCCTTCCATGTTTCCATGAACATAAACCTCCCTCTGTGTAAAACGACTCTGATGTTCCAAAAAGGAACATTGTGAGGACTGAAGTTATGTTTATCTGCTATTTTCCAGTTTAATAACACTTGTGGGTGAAAAGCCGATCATTTAAGAGGTAGTTTAGAAATGTCAGTCACATCTTAACAAGAAGTCAAGACCTCCAACTTTACTAGAAACCAAAGTGGGGATAGCAAACCAAATCTCATGAGCATTTTTAAGAAAGGATTGAAGCCAATTAAGTTTTAAGACACCATTCATTATTCAAAATCTATTGTTTAAATTCCTCTATCTTCATATTTGTAAAATGCTACAGATGTAGCGCTCCGTTTCTCTCATGCATCCTAGTCAACAACTGTCGGCACTAACGTAGCGGTAAGCTAGCGTACAGCACAGAGGTGTCTTCCCCTCCTCCCCGTCGACTAAAACCCTTAAAGAGATGAGCGCCCTGCCAATGCAAGTGACCTCGGGGAAACACTGCATGAGGCGTGGAGAGCTGGTGTAGGTGACCAGGAAAACCCGGCGTGGACTTTTAGTGGTTTGAGGATTCTCCCATTAATCAAGTGGAATGGATTTGTTCACCAAGAAATAGAAACAGTGCTGGGTGAACTAATATTTCATGGTAAATGTGTGTGTGTGTGAGTGTGTGTGTGGTGGTGGTGGGTGTTTCCAAACTAATATTTATTTTAATGTGAAGGGGAAACGTGTCCCCTTCACATATAATTGATGCAGCACCTATACATAATTAATAATTTATTAATAATTAAATTAATAATTTATACAACATAAACAAACCAGACATTTTTGTGTAAAAAGGCAAACATAATTGTAAAAACTAGTATGACTTTTATTTGGTTCCAAACAGAAGGTTTGGAACCAACCTAGGTAGGTAGGTTTTGTATTGTCAATTGCTTTTCATTTTTTGGTCTAAATCAATTTTTGTAACATTAAAAAATTCTGGCTTTAAGGAAACTGAGTAATAAAGTGTTTGAGGTCTGCAAGCATTATTGTGCTACAGTTCGTGACAAACACAAACAAACTGTTTGCAGAACCCTGGTCAGCAGGCTCATCAGCACTTTTCATTCATTCAACCTTTATTTAGGTCGTTTTCACACCAGATAGTCCGGTAGACTCGGTTCGGGACCAATATTCATAACCTTTTGTTTACATTTGAGCTGGTGCGTTTACATTCACACTGCACTGTGCAGTCGAGTCAACCTGTTGAACCAACCTGTTCCCCCGCTCGCCTGTGGGGGCGCTGCACCTAGAACTACTGAAAGAAACAACACAAAAACCTCTGAAGACAAGTCTTCTTCTTCTTCTGTAAATAAAAACAAAAACGAAGTGGCATCAAGTTTTAGCAGTTTTAGGAGTTATATTTAGTCATTTTTCAAAAATGGACTTAGCATGAGCAGAAGATGAGACAGAAGACCACGAAGAATATTGTTTTTCCCACACAAGTCAGCTGACGGCTACATATAAGGTAAAAGAAATGCGTGTTTGTTTGTCCTGCGGAGCAGTCCGGTCTGTTTACATTCACACTGTACTCGAACCGTGCTGGAGTTCTCTTCTACCGGACCGAGACCTAGGTTTTAGCCCGGGCCAGAGTTCGCCTTTTTTGTTCCATGACAGAGTTTGATGGTGCGTTCACACCTCCCTAAACGAACCAGACTTTCTAGGAAAACGAGCTAGAGTTCAATTAAAGCGGACTAAACAGGGCTGGTGTGAATGCACCCTTAGACGGGTAAATCCCATTGAGCCTCGAGGACTCATTTACAAGAGAGACCTGATTTCAACAAAGAATGATGACAACAAGGGACAACAGTTGATGGTGAGAATGAAGAGCACATTTTTTGGAGTTTGTTTGGCCAGCTGTGTGGTGTTTAGGGTCCAGCAGAGATCAAAAGTCAAAAAGTGAAAGTCACTTTATTGTCAAAACTGCAACATGTACAGGACGCACACAGGATTGAAATTACATTTCTCTCAGACCCCTGGTGCAACAATAACAAACAATGACAACTATTTAACATTTAAAACATTTAATAAACATAAGCATAAAATTAAATAATAAAAGTATAATACTATCTTAAATTGTAGTATGGCGGTATATTAAAAAAAAGTATATTTATAAAATGAAATGAAGTGAAGGTCCTGTCATTGATATTTGTTGTAAGTGGTAAAGCAGCATATGAGGTGAATGTACACAGTATATGTATGAAGTCCTTGATTTTGGTGTAGGTAAAGTGACATATGCAATAAGGCTATAAACTATATATATATATATATATA